CCTCCTCCTCCTCCTCCTCCTCCTCCTCCTCCTCCTCTTCTTCATCCCTAAACATCTTAAACCTTGCTTCACCCATTGCAAGCCTGGGTATTATGCACGTGTGTGTGGCTAGTCTTCAATTCCTCTAAGAAGCTTTCTCTAACCAACACACCTAGGTTAGCTTATTACACATGATTTTACAATTGCTTCTTCGTTGGCTTTTATTTCTTGCCAGGTAAGTTCTGTGTAGAAAGGGACCAATTATCTAGCTTACTCATAGGCATCCAGAGTCTCAGTGTCTGCACTCCATAAAAGCAGTTAAATGCATCAGAGAAAGTTAAAAGAGTATTTAAAACGCCGCAGCAACAATGATAACCATGGAAGCCTTATTTTACCAGTTGTCACGTATAGACTACTTCACTGCGGTCTTACCCATCTTACTTAAAGGGTACTGAGAGGGTTGGGCAGCTTACTAAGAGGATAATTGAGGGCATCTTTCAGTGAAGTCATTCTTATACTTAAGTCCAGAGGGCTGACAGTCTAAGGGAGTGGTGAATGGCACTAATAAACAGATTCCTGTGCTATCAGTCTGCCAAGAAAAATCATAAGGTTTACTTCATTATATATTTTAAATAGCAATCTCCATAAGTATACAACAAGGGCTGATTCACAGAAACTACCACTTATCCAGGGACACCTGATCCTTTTTTTAACAGTGTAGGTCAAATTTGAAATTCAATTTGAAAATATTTGTAAGCATACTTGAACTACCCTGTTTAAAAGCTAACTGAAAAGTAAAACAATAATACCATGACTACCTTATAGAATTAATTTTCAATATAGAAAAACATGTCTCAATAGAATAGCAATATGCCTGTCTTAAGTGATTATGCTTTTTCCAATTTACTATTTCAAATTAGCATTGGAGAAGTAAGCATTTCTATTATGATAAACCTCAGGATTGAAGATGTAATGGAGAGAACCTGAAGCATGTCACTTTGAAAGGCCACTGAGGCCTTTGGTGAAGGTATAACCTTGGTTGCAGTGGGGACCCCAGAATACTGGAGATGACAGGATTAGAGGACATTTCCCAAGGACATCGGGAAGTATGGAATGGAGCTGTCTAGAGCCGACAAGATAAACACACCATGGATGCAAAGTTGAGGAAGTGGCGCTTCCAAAGGCCTTTGGTGCCAAGGTCATGAGTGAGTCCCAGATGTCAGGCACCGAGCTACCAGATTTTGGAATGACACTCCTGGACTTTGGTTTTTACTTAAAGTTTTATGGCCTTGTTCTTTCTTCTTGGAATAATAAAGTATTTAACTGGCTTTGGATTTTTCAGGAGCCCAAACTTAAGAGACTGTAATCTTAGAGAGAAACAGAACTTTTAGATGATGGGAATTCTTTTAAAAAACCTGTAGGACTTTTAAGGCTGTACTATATTCTATACCATGATATTAACATAAGATGTTGGGGGCAAACAAGAAAGGAAAGGTTATAGTTTAGAGTGCTGTGTCAAAGCTGGCAAGGAGTGGGCTGTCCTAGCTTCAGCTGACAAGTTGATGG